AGCCCGTTGTTGCAGCCATTGTGTCAGTTCATCTCGTTGAGGGTCTTCCTTTTTTTTTTGCTGACCCTCTAGTTTACCAAGTATGATGTCCTTCTACAGGGACTGGTCCCTCCTGATCATGTCCAAAGTACGTGTAATGAAGTCTCACCATTGTTGCTTCTAAGGATCATTCTGGCTGTATTTCTTCCAAGACAGCTTTGTTCTTTTGGCAGTCCATGGTACATTCATCACCAACATCATACCTCAAAGGCATCAATTGTTCTTCTTAAAGAAGTTCTTTAAGTCTTGCTATATCTGATACAGGAGGCCTGATGTGCAGTGGTTAAAGTGCTTGGCTGCTAACCAAAAGGTTGGCGGTTTGAACCCACCAGCTGCTCCAAAGGAGAAAAATATGACAGTCTGCTTCCGTACAGATTACAGACTTAGAAATCCTATGGGACAGTTCTACTCTGTCCTGTATGGTCGTTATGAGTAGGAACTGACTCGATGGGCAACGGGGGTTTTATATCTGATACAATAACCTGTGAGAGCCAGAACTTGATAGGACTGCCTTGTTTTTCCAGGTCTTGCAAGTTTTCTGCCTTTCAGAGGATGCAGTCTTACCATTTTTCTACCCTTTATTAGTGGAAAATATTTTAGTTATCCTTCTCTGACAGGTTTCTGCCTTACGCAAGTTCTGGCTTTCACAAGTTTTACTGTGCTTTGTTCCCCATGAAGAACTTTCTGACGCCAGTTTTGAAGTGGCATCCTTCTTCAGACTTAAATAAGGCAGCTGTCACCAATGAAAAACGTGCGAAGGAAGGAGCAAGGAGAGCTCCTCTTGTTCCTACCCATAAAGTTAACGTTATGCTGAACCTTTAAAAAATTTTTTTCCTCTAACCTTAATCATTTCCTCTGTGCTTTCAAAACACCTGGTTTATACCTATTAGAGCACTTGTGAATCTGACTTACGTTTTAGTTAGCTGTATAAGCACCTATTTTTCCCATCAGATTGCATTCTTTGAGGGTGTGTGTTCTATTTACCTCAGAATACCTGGGTCCTCAGCCCAGTTCTTTGCATATAGCTGACTCAAACTGAATTATCCCACACGTCACTGAATTATAGCATTTTATTGCTAGAAGAATTAGCAGAAAAGGAAATAAATGTCTCTAATTAGATAAAGTGAACACAGGAAAATTATAGTCCTGCAGCATGCCAGTGGAAGAACCAGGATCCAAAAAGTAACTTCCATGATTGTAAGCATTATGACTTATTTAAACTATATAGTTTCTCATGTTTTTCCT